CTGAGTCCCCTACAGCTCAACATAACACCATGGCTTTACTTCTTATATTTTGTTTTCATACTTTTCTTCTGGATGGTTAAGACCAAGGTAAAGCAGGACCTATGCAACAAGAGTTGTAGCTTTTGGGTCTGATAAGGTCAGTGAAATCCCCTCAGGATTTATCCTGAGATCCCAGTACCTCAGATTGTAGATCCTTTGTCAGTGTCAGCCATGTGGATGAGTTACCACAACCTCTTTCTTATATTGGAGAGCAGGACAATCTATTGCAGATCGAAAAATTAACAATTTACATCAAAGATGCGATCACCCCACGTGTTTCAGACTCTGGTCAGAGTGGTCACATGTGCCATATTCAATGGCATAAGAAGCAGTGTAGTCAGACATCCAGGAAGGTTGCTACTATGGAAATATGTGTGGTGAAGGAATAATAAAGGAGAATGAGTTTCCTGGGGCAAATGGGGCAGGTGAAGAGCAGTGTGCCCCCCCCCCAGGAACAGAGATGCCCCAGCAGAGCTGGCATCCTCAGGGAACATGGACTGCACTGAGAGAAGCCACTCTGTGACCTGCTAGCTGGCGACTCAAGCCTGCCATTGCTGCAGGTTTGGAATGCATGGAGGCAGCTGGCTTCCCTGTCCCTGTTGGCCAGTACTATCGTGCCCATTTCTATCCAACAGTTGAAAGATGTATCTTAAAACAACCTAATAAGGGGGACTTGAGGCCACCCAGGAGTGATGGAAGGGTTATAGATGTTTCAGACGGTGAAAGCCATCATGTAGCATCCACCTTTTAAAGGGCACTGGCCACACTGGCTGAAGCAGGAGGACAGGGGCTCATGGCCTGTAGGCAGGCAGGTGATGGAGAGAGGTGCGTGCTGAGAACAGGGAGCGGGGGACATGTCTGGCCCCTTTGTGCTGATCATGCCTCTGCTACTAAGGATTCCTTGAGAACACGGTCTCGGTGCTAGGCACTGGGGCAGGGAACAAATATGGGCTCAGCAATGCAAAGTTGCCAGCTGGCACCTGTAGATCAGATCCGTCCTTGCTGGGGGCGAAGTCTGGCCTCTTCCTGCCCAAAATCTACTCTGGCCAAGTTAATAGCAACATCAGGCCTCTCTCTGGGTCTGTTGTATATATGTATCTGGCCAGCCAAGGAGAAATGGATTTTAATCCAGTTTGTGTTTCTGCATTAGTGGAGCCCACAGATACCCGATCTGTTTGAAGATGTTCATTTCACTCAGGTGCTGGGCCTCCGTAATTTAACATTAACTCAACTCTCTCAGCATAAAAAGTAATGGCTCTGTCAGAGTTCAAGTGCGAATACCTAATTTAGGGTTTTACATGCTAATTCTGAATAAATGGAGGTGTCCTGAGAAGGAAGGTTCTGCTTTTTAAGTGCACAAAGGAAGGCCATGAATTAGTGGAGACCATTAAAGTTACATCTTCAGCGTCTGGGCTTTTGGAGTGCTGTCCACACCCAGGTCTGAAAGCCCAGACCCCAGCAAGAGTCTCCAGAGTCTTTCTTCAAAGGTCAGAGGTTTTCTTACTGCAATGCTCCACCTCTGGGGCTCACAGCACCTTGCTTGATATGGGCCAGAAGTCTGGGGTCCTGCCCAGGTAGGGAAAGTTCTTATGGCTGTGATTAATGGAGACACACACACACACACACACACACACACACACACACACACACACCTCAGGCTGAAGATACAGAAGAATCCAGCTCCTCCTTCCCTGCTGGGCTTTCCCCTTGCTTGTCTATTTCTCTGAGAGAATCCAGGGGTAGGCACGGGACCCAGGGACAGTCACTAACCCTGACATGTGACTTCTCTGGCTATCCCAAGTGCTCCCACATGTGAGAGGCTCCCTCGGTGGTCCCTACTCAAGGCCCATCCCTGGCGTAGTGCTTCCTGAAGAAGCTTGGTGATAGCCCAGCTCCTCACATTACCTGTGCTATTTCACCGGGGCTCTTTAGGACCGAGAGAGCTAAGAATGAAGGCTTCGTCCATGCTCATCTTCTCTGTGGGAATCCATGGGCATACAGTCTTGCCCTGAAGGCTGCCTCATCTGAGCTCTAACTCCCAGAACATATTTTGTTTTGTTTTTCCTCTGAGTGAAGTCTCAGAATGCCAGACCAAGACTGGGCAGTGAGAGCGTCTGCCCGAGCCTGACTGTGGGTTGGCCCCAGTGTCTCAGCCAGTCATAGCCCCTGTATTGCTTGCTTCTAGGCTCCAACAAGCAGGAGCCTGGGCCAGGGCCACTATTCATTCCTTTGCCATGTCTTTCTCTGATAAGTCATATCAGAGGCTCCTACACACTCCGGGGGTTACTGAGTTCCTGCAGCAGAAAAGAAGCTTCCTTGCATTTTGCAGAGCAGGCTGCGGCTGGTCTCTCATCTCCAGGAAAGCCAGAATACCCAGAGATCATAACAGTGCCTGGGAAGAGACCTCTGTGTGCTAAGGCCTCTGTGCATGCTGGGTCGTCATCCAGAAGTTTCTGAGGCCATGTCAGATGCGGAGACTCGGCAGTCCTCCAGAGCATGCGTCCTGAAGAAATCTCAGGCCAGCTTGAAGATGCTGGTGGCCCTTCTGTGTCCCTGCTCTGGGTGGGAGGGACTGCAGGAAGCAAAGACCTGTGGCTTTATCCCCCTCCTTGCCTGACTTCTGGGGGTAGGGCCCAGAGCAGAAAGGAGTCTAATGTCTCCAGATCCTGCCATTTCTCTGTGTTAACTTTCAAACAAAAATAACAGAGTCGGTGTTCAGAACCCTGTGCACTCTCTACTAGACTCAGGGATGCAGGCTGTGTTTAGATGTGAGCAGGCCAGCTTGGGTGGCACTTCTTTCCCCTAAAGTACAGAGTCATAAAGAAGAATGACAACAAACAGAACTACCTGTTCACGTCTGCCTCCCCTTTCCTTGTCATTTCCTCAGGTCTGGCATTTGTCATGGCCGTTCTTGGAGGAGGTTTTTGGGAGAACGCATCTGCATTTTTCTTGGCTCAGCGAGCTCCCCATGGCCTGGGACTGTGCCCTGTTCACCCCCGTAGCTCCAAGGGTCAAGCAGAATGTCAGTCGCCCAGTGGCTGCACAGTGCCATTCAGAAATTGACTGGCTGGTGACATCAGTGCAATCATCTCCTGGTTCCTGGGATGAGATACGTCAGGTTTGTGTTAACCTCAAAGAGAAGAGAAAGAAAAAAAAAAAACAAAAAAAAAAAAAACAATGAGAAACTGCTTTCTTACTGATTGCTGAAGTTTTCTTTGTCCAAAAAGGAGAAAATTTGCATATGCTTCTGAAGAAGCCTGTGCCTTCATTCAGTTGAAGCTATCTGAATGGTTCCTTGAGGCAGGACTGCAAAGCACTGACTGCCCCAGTGTGCTGTGGAAAAGCCAAAGTGCCCATTGCCAGGTATTCAGGAGCTCAGAGCTGTTTTATCAGAAGTAACCTGGTGGTTCTTGGGTTGTCTTGTAGCCCTGGTGAGAGTGTAGCTTTTATATTCTTGAACTCAGACAGGAAAGAATCTGCGAAGGACTAGATATTTAGAAGAATCAGTCATGGATGGACATAGTTGAATATCTTCCATGGCCAAAGAAGCTGTCCTCTAATGTGACCAAGAGGGGTGACAAGGAGCTTACTGCTCATTACTGATGTCCTCGCATGGAAAATGTCAGTCAAAGAAAGCACAAAATGACTGTTCTCTATGGCCATCGCCACAGGAGGTTCTAGTTTTCCCTAGAAAAAGTGGACTCCTAAATGGGCAACCACTATAGCCTAAGAAGCAGAAACTCACAGAACTGACTTGGCCTCAAGATGGTCTTCTGCTCCACTTTTTGAGGACTGCTATAGTAACTTCCTTCTCTCTGCAGGCCTCCTCTGGACTCTAAGGAAGTAGAATCACAAGTATGGATGTATTATTTCCAGAGATAAGCCAGTCCTTGGTGTGCTGAGAAGCAGTTGGTAGGCTCACCAGCCTTTGGGACACCTTGCAAGACCAGGGCTGGACCTGTGGCCTAGAGGATTAGCCACCGCTACTGGCCATTGTAGAGCTTGGTCTCCTGGGGCAAGCCTCAAGTCTTCAGTAAAATTTTGCCAAATGTTATAGCCTGGTCTCAGTGCTATTGCAGGTTGGTGAAAGAATCACCCATCTCTCTCCTGCCTGGGGACCAGCACAGGACTAGCTTTACACGGTGAATGGTCTCTCAGCTTCCAGGGCGGTTGGCGTGCAGCGTGAACAACATCTAGATGGATCCAAGCAACAATAGCAGAGAGGATTGGCAGGTGCAGAGCCCATGAGAAATGTCAGCATCCTGGGAACTTTCCATGCTAGCCTGGGGACCGGAGTCCCAGCATATACCAATGTAGACACCCAAAGAGGAAGAATTAAAATCTGAACAGATATATGACACCCATAAAACTTCCAGGCTGACCATCAGAGAGCATAATGCTTGTCTAAAGAATAACTCCAATGCCTAATTCCTTAAGGCCAGAACCATCATTCAACATGGTTTTACATTTGGAAGATTTAGGGTACTTGGGCTTATGAGAAAGTAAGGACCCCCAAGCGCACACCGTCTCATGTGCCTACTTGAAAGATTGATGGTACCCTGCGTTCTGCTGGCCATCAACACCCAGCCGCACACCCAGGCCTCACACTTGCACACTCACATAGCACTCCTCATTACACACACAACCCTAGCCCAAGGCTTGCCATGCCTCCAAGTCTTCATGCACACTAACCTACCAGCTCTCTCTTCCCGAAGGGAGTCAGGGTCTCCTGTGTGGCTGGACTCGAAGCATTCCTCAGCTTTGTGCACAAGAGTGAAGTCATGAACGGTACTTTTTGGGTTCAATGCAGCAAGTTCTAAATGATATATGCAGTAAAAAATCTCTGCCCTGCGCACGGAGAATACAAACCATTATGTGCTGAGAGAGCTAACACTCGGCCACTTATTTGTCGTTTGTTGACTGCTGTCAAATATAATAAAATGAAATAAATCTCCGGGAACAGAAAAATTAAGGCACCTAAATGTGCTATTGTTTTTGATTTTGTCCTGGACTCATAAAATGGTACTTTTCTTGCCTTCCCAAGTGGTCAGATAAATAAATTAACTATAAAGTCAGAAAGAAAAATATATCCATGGAAAAGTGCTCAGCAGGGGCTCAGCCTTGTTCTCACTCTGTGTCCACCTTCCTTCCCTCCCCAGCTGCCTCCTGGCCCCCTCTGCAGGTCTCTGGGATGAGGTCCCAGGAAGGGGGTGAAGGTGTGCCCCCTGGCTCCTGGGCATCTCTCTGGCCCCAGGACATCTCTCTGGCCCCAGGACATCTCTCTGTCTCCTGGGCATCTCTCTGGCTCCTGGGCAGCTCTCTGTCTCCTGGGAATCTCTATGGCTCCTGGGAATCTCTCTGTCTCCTGGGCATCTCTCTGGCTCCAGGGCATCTCTCTGGCTCCTGGGCATCTCTCTGGCTCC